ATTAACCAACAGAACCAAAAACCAGAAATGGAATCAAAAGCCAAAAAACAACATTCACCAAGGAATTTGAAGAGAAATAAACACAAAGGAATGAACTTCAAAAGAAGCATGCAGCCATAGAAGCCAAGGCAACTAGTGCAGCAGCAGCAGGAACACCCAGAGCCACTCCCGCACTTTCCATCGGTGATGATGCGATCGCACCCTGGTCTTCCCTCAAAGCAGTGGCTCCACTGGCCAATACAGCAACAACCATAATACAGGCAATGGCCATTTTGCTTCCCTCCATTTTTCTCGGCTAACTCAAACTAAATAAAAGCACTGTTGAAAATTACAAAAGTGAGAGAAGCTATTGAAGATGTTGTGTGCTTCGGATCGCAGAGATTTAAAGTGTTTTTATAGGGGAAAAGAAAAGCTTATGCTACTGACCAAGTATTTGCCAGCTTTATTTTGTTGGTCTTAAAACGAACAAAATCATTTGAAGGCATATTTATGTGTTGTCAGCTCAAAAAATTCAAACTGTTATTTAACATTTATAATAGTTTTATTAAGGTTGTAATAGATTCTTGAGTTAACTTGGTGGTTGGGTATTTAGTTTTGGATTCTAAAGGTCTACGGTTTGAATCCCATGAAAATCATTTTTTTCATCAACAAAACGACGTCGTTTTGAGTTTTTTGAGCATCAAAATGGTCGTGCCAAAACGACATCGTTTTGATTAGGGAGACATATCATCGCCGTCACAGAATAGAGATGTCATGTCATCGCTCCGTTAATGAATTAACGACGGAGTGACATAATTGCAGCTAAACATATACGTCAGTGTTAAAATTGGCAAAACTGAAATGTAAAGTGACATAAACGAGCCCACACTTAAAGGTGAGTGATATTTGAAGTAGTTAACCCTATTTTAAAATATTATGGGAAGTATGGGCGAGGTTATAACACGCGCCAAAAGAGACAAACAAGTTTAATTACTATGATATGGGACAAAATATTGATAACTCTAACAAAAGAGTTATATTTTATATCATTTTTACTTAGTTTAAGTTTGCATTCTATCATTTTTAGAATCATATTTATATTATTTTAGCATATTTTACACCATTTGCATAGTGGGAGTGAATTGTTGGTACTTAGGCTAATTATAATGTTTTTGTTGCAAAACAAATGATGTTGTGACTTTGTTAATGTTATAGTCTATGTTGAACGTTGATGCTGGACTGGATTGCCAAAACTATTCTGCAGCAACTGCTGAGTCACAAGGTAGTTAGAGAAATTTGAGGAAGTGATAAAGCTGCGGGATTAAAGGCTGAAATTTGAATTTAAAAAGAATTTTTCAGAAAAATGAGATTTTCCTATAGGTGAAAGTTTGACTTTGATAGGCTATAAATATATTATTTTCTATATTATGGGAAGTTTTGGTAGAAAGGTAATAAAAGCGATTAAATAAATAAAAACAATTGAAGTAAAAATAAGATAATAAAGACTGTAAATAAATACTGTAAAAATAGCCTCGAGCTTCGCTTTGACTCAATTTCCTTAGATCATCGAATAAGATTTTCTCTTCGGGATTCACGTCGGTTACTTTGTCTACAAGGGCTATCCTTGTGACTCTATCTTGTATACCGGATACCCAAGGCAATCTTTGATTCCGGCTTCGGTAATTGATTCTAACAACATCTATTGTCGTAGATCAAATACCATTTAAGTTCGTGGCGACCGACTCGGATTGTTGTTTCTATAACCGTCAATTCCGATCTCAATTCCCTCTTGGCGAAGCTATCTCGCCAAGTGTGTTCCCAGGAGGTCGAATTGCTTTCTATAAGCCGAATCTTCCTCCCACACGTTTTAATCGCAACAACCTCTTGACCAAAGTCAATCTTTGATTTTGAAAACTGTTTTGATTTGTGAAAAATAAGCGCAGAGATTGAGAGAGATATTCCGAAGATATTAAGGGATCGTTTCAATTCTCCCGTTGGAATTGAATCATTGCGACAACTCTCGGCTTATGAAAACAAAACTTGAAAAGTAAAAAGAAAAGATTTAATAAAAACTAGAGAGAAAAGAAGAATGTATTTTGAATGATGATTTTAGGCTTACCCCAAGTGGGTATTTATAGCCTCTCAAAGCCTAAAGGATAAGCAAAGAAAATAATAAAATAATACAAAAGATAATTGTTTTTAAATTTAAATTCAAACTTAAACTAGTCTCCTAATGCAACTCTACTCATCAATCTTCCAGAAGGCGTGCGGAAGAAGTCTTCTAGAAACCGCCGCTGACTGGACCTTCTAGAAACTGTCACGTCATACCGCGTCGTGCCCAGAGTCGTGCCCATGTCTCCAGCCGTGACCAAATAATAAAAAAATGCAGAATTCGCCCGTTTTGTCACAAATTCTGGAAAACAATGACCTGTACGAAAACAAGCACAACACGACCAAATCAACAGCAATAAATCCACAAAATCGAAGAAATAACGAGCAAATATTAACTATTCTGAACACTCATCAGTGGAGGTTGGTTTAATGGATGTTTAGACTTTATTTTGATGATATATTTGAGTTTATTTTGGTTCTTTATTTGCTTTGCTTATGAATGCTTCACCATCTAGGCTTGTAAGAGGCATGGAAATGTCCATTTCTTAGATGAAGTTTAGGTATTCGGGAGAAACCTAAGCTAGATATACTTGTAAGTATTCGAGAGAACCGCAAGATAAGATCCTCATAAGCAATGGGTTATAGTATTTCCAAGGGGCTTTGAATCGGCCTAGGGATATTACAACCTAATCCCTTAGATCTCGGGAGAGACTAGGATAAGATTTCAATGACTAAAAAGGGTGTTTTTATCAATAAGGTAGGCTGGCCAACATCGTTGAGTGAGAGCAGATGCCTTGGCATCCTATTCTGTTAGGTTCCTTTGAGAACATTTTAGGAAAGCCCTATCGAGCAAGTAAAGACCAGATAACTTAGATATTCATGATAAATAAGTTTAGCATCCTTAGATCAATCCCTATCATTCATTCCATTGGAAGCTTGTCACGTGAGGATTATCTTCTTTTCATTTTATTTACTGTTATTTACCATCTTTCATTGCCTCGACATTACAACACTAAACATCTTATCTTGCCATTATATTTCCATCTGCTACACCATCAGACTATTCATCTACATCCACCTTCATACACATTTTCATTTACCGTGACATTTGTATATATAAAGATTAACTATACATAGATAGATTAGTGCTTAGCTTTGGTTAGACTTTCGTAATTTCACCCAATCCCTGTGGAGACGATACTCACTCATCACTGTATTACTTGAGCGATTGTGTATACTTGCACATTATTTGCGTATATTTTATAGTACTCACAACACGCAACAATATTTCTAACTCAGCTCTTGAGGAAATGAGATTGATTACAGGTTTTAAAATAGGAAGACTACCAATTAGGTATCTTGGCATCCCTCTTGTTACAATAAAAATTACTGATAAAGATTGCTCTGGCCTTATTGACGCTATCAAATCTCGTTTGCATCACTGGTCTGGTAAGGTCCTGAGTTATGTTGGAAGATTGGATCTTGTTAGAGTTGTTTTATTTAACATAACTAACTATTGGTGCAGACAGCTTTTCCTCTCTTTTTCTGTCATTAAAAAGATTGATCAGTTATGTTCTAGATTCTTTTGGAAAGGCGCAGATAAACCGGCTGTTGGTGCAAGAGTGAGTTGGAAGCAAATTTGTCGACCAAAAACAGAGGGTGGTCTTGGACTCAAGGACTTAAAAACCTGGAACAAATCTTGCATGATGAGCCTATTAAGAATATCCTTGCTGGTGAAGGATCCCTTTGGGTGGCTTGGTTAAAGAGCTATATGTTTAGTACCACCACGATTTCTGGTCTGTCCCTGTTAAATCCAATATGAGTTGGAGTTTTAAGCAAATTATGATGCTAAAGGCTGAAGCTTCCTCTTTTCTGCCTTTGGTCTCCAAGAACATTAATGACCTTTGGAATGACATCCGAGTGAAAAATCCTAAAATCCATTGGCATTCACTGCTTTGGTTTCCTATTATTATTCCCAAACACAGTCTCATTGCGTGGATGGCTTTCCTCGACAGACTTCCTACAAAGGAGAGACTTCACAGAATGAGTATCGTTTAAGACTGCCAATGCATTTTTTGTGGTGTTGGTATGGAAACCAGAAACCATCTATTTTACAAGTGCCCTGTTGCCACTGCAATATGGACGAAAATCTACTCCCTTAATGGTCTTCGGCTTAGTCACTCCACTTGGACTGCTCACTTTGATTGGGCAGTGGATAATTGGAAGGGTAAATCCCTTCTTACTTCTATTATGAAAATCGCTTCTAATGCGTTGACCTACATTATATGGAAAGAAAAAAATAGGAGACTTTTCCAATCTCATGCATCTACTGTTGAGGCTATGTTTGGAGAGATCAAGGAAATTGTTGGGTTCCAACTTAGGAGCAGGTTTACACATAGATTAGACAATGTTAACACTACTCTTTGTAATCTATGGGGTATAGTCTAATTTTGTTTTGATTAGCATTTAATTTTTAAGGTGATCCTTGTATTTCTGAACTTTGTTTGTTATTTGTAGCAGTTCACTACTCCTTGGGTAATAAAATCTAATTATCCACACAAAAAAATTGTGAACTCATTTTCACTGCATCTTTTGGTTCACTTTACAGAGGTTAGGCATTTGATACACTCATTGCTAACATCTTCAAGTTACGTAGTCTAAACTCCATGATGATGCTTAAATCATTTTGCAGTTTACTTGATGAAACCAGGTGACACCTTCAAGATATGTTTAAAGGTTCTATGAGGCTGGCGGTCTTATAAGTAGAAGGATACAAGCGTCACATGCACTCTACGGAACCGAGGTTCAGGATCTATCTTGGATCATGGTGTGCAGTAGCTGGCCCGTCTTTCAAGTATATGCTTGAAATCAATGTCAAATTTAATGATAATTAAAATGAAAATAACACACCAATTTCCAATTTCTCAAACTGGACGTTATTTTGACAGTGCCGTTGGAAGGTTACAAACAATGTTAATGTCTAATTTGTGGATAGCAAGGAGAAAAGAATTTGGTAGAAGAACACTGAAATCAATCCAATCGTTTTGACTTAATCCTGTTTCTGGATATCTTAAGTAGAGCGCCTAATATGAGAGGAATGCAAATTCCATGAGACGTATCTGCACTGTGTACATCCTTGCAGTTGCAGGCACCTCTTACCGGTAGCCGCCTATTACTTTGATGGGTACTGATTGTGTTCTGTAAATACAAGGGTCTTCTCTCACTTGCTCCCAGCCCGATTAGCTTTCCCAGAGATACACTGTTATCTTGGAAAAATGATGCTGAGGACTGGCCATGCAAGAAATAGTATAGTAGGTATAGGTAAACGTTTATATATATTCATTGCATTCGATGGAGTAATTACCTCGGTGTCAAGGTTGGAAGAGGAGAATGAGGAGAAACTGCTTGAGGGAATGTGCAAAGAGTATGGTTCCACCGCCGGAGCAGCAACTTGGTATCTTTCTTGTAACCCAAGCCGCATGGTCATTATCTGTAGTCCAAGTGGCCACCCATTGGACGTCTCCTGATTCTGCCAAAACTAATCAACTCAATATTAATCATTCTCAAATATAATAACAGCAAACCATGACCTTGAATTGATTTATCATGGGGCAAGATCTAAGTTTTTGTAGCAAAAGGGAGTAAAATTGAAAGAGATTGAACAAAGGAAATGTGGCAAAAGCCATGTGAGGAATGGATGGCACAAATTAGAAGTTCAAAACACAAACTTTTTTGACATTTGTATGTCTAATTTCCTTGTCGCACACACCTGTCAGTTTCACCTTCAAACACCCAAACCACCGGTTCCATTCTGATTAAACAGAGGCTGTTGATCTCTTTTGCAAACAAGCTTACTAGTTAAGATCCAATGAAGATTTCGTTACATCAAACTAACAGTTCTAACTTGTAATTGCGTAATCACAAGGTCCGGAGTTGGATGTTGTAAGAACATCGAAAACATGGATTAAATTGTAAGCAGCGGCGACCATGAATTTCTTTCGAAACCACACCGTTCCGGCTCTCTACTTTCATGAATACATACCTAAACCTTATATTTTCCTTTTGGGAGACTGTCGGTGGAATCACAGATGAGATCAGTAATGCTAACCAGAGAAAGGTACAGAGATAAAGTCGTGGTTTGAATCCTACTTGGACACCTCAATCGCGGTTCTCTCTAAAATCCCATGAATCAGGACGAGAAAATATTCATGAAAAAACGATTTATATCCAATCGTGGAAGATATAAGCAAGAAAATAAGGAGGCGAAAAAAGGAATTCAACTAAAACCCATAATCCGATTCTTTATTGCCAGGCGATCAAAACAATCAGAACATAAATCCATGAAAGAATATCTGCACATGCATGATCAACAGAAAAACAACCAATAAGATGTAGAATGGCTATTACCTCAGCTGCCATGACTTGAGCTCTCCAATAGCAAGATAAAAAATGAAAATGGCAGTGAATAAATGAAGATGAGAGAATAACAAAATATAATTGCAACTCGGAACACAAAATCCCTGTGACTGTTAAAAGTACAAGAGATGGTCAATAAGAGCTCCTATCTTGGATTGGTTCATCTGAGAGACTCTTCCTTAAACAAGGAACAATTAATGAATGGGTCCAAGGGGAGGTGAGTTTCAGCATTTGCAAATCTCATGAGAGAGATGATTAATATAAACAATTCTCTACTTCATTGTCTTAATTAGCTCAGATAATCACACCTGTTTGCTTATTAATAACAACATTTTAACCATCAACTTACCGCCATATTTCAAAAAAAAAAAATCTTCTTTTATCTATGGACCCCGCGAAGGTGTATGTAATATTGCACAGGAAAATATTTTTTAAATAATTTCTTAATATGACAAATCTTATCATGAATAGTATTCTGCTGACAATTCTTCCCCAGGCATTAAAGAAACAGAACACCTCATCTCAGGGGAATTAAAGAAAGATGTGAACTCAACTCTGTTTTTCTGCTAAATGATTACCGAAACAAAACGAGTATTCAGAATGTTGTAGACAGCAAGCGAATAAGCGGACTTTTTACCCAAAAAGCAAGAATCAATAATTATCTGTAACTGATTTAATATCCATTTGATGATATTAACAGAATACGCGGACCTCTGGATTTTCGTCCAAACTAGCATCTAGCAGACAAAGTATGAATCACTATTTGCACATGAAAGAATACATGAATTATTATTTCTTAAACTACAAAAAAAAAAAAAACTTTTATTCTTAATTTTATTATTATTTCTAACAAGCTTCAAATAGATTCTATTGTTGTTTTTAGAATGTAAAATTATTTTTATTATATTATAATCATTAAATAGTTTATTATTTTATTATATTTTACTGTGCTAATTTTTTTATGTTTTGCAGTTATAAAATGAAAGACGAATTGCTACGTTTAGATAGGAATCATATCTAGAATCATTTAGCTAATACGGTACCAATTTTAAATTGTGTTATGTTAATTATTGTGAATATTTTATTTATTTATTTTTTAGTATTAGTTTATATTTTAACTTGCATATTATTTATTTAATTAGGGGAATGATCGTATATTAGATCCATTTATTCATAATACTAAGTTAGAGATACCGAATCGTATTTGGTCATATTTAAATGAGGCTGAATTCAGTTATATAGCTAGATATGAAGGGCATTGTAAACTTGAATCCAAACCAACCTTATTTTTGCATTGGTTGAGAGGTAGAGACTAGAGACACATATTTCATCTACCGTGTAGGGACTGCACTATTACGCGGAATGATGTTTCCTTACATTTGGGGCTTTCGGTAGATGGGGATGTCATTTCTAGTGTGGCAGGTGGAGATTGACATTCCTTGTGCGATGAGTATCTTGGAGGTATCCTACCTAATTTCAACGGTGGTTGAATACCGTTATCATAGTTGGCTACAAATTTTCAACAGTTGAACAATGACTATTCCGAGTAGCCCATTACTTAGTGATGCTCAAATGAGATTAATGCAAGGAAAATGAAAATAAAATAACACAAACTGAGATTTCAAAAACAATAATTTCATCTTAATAGCATCAACGGTTATGTGATAATAAATAGGTGTACATTTTTTCCTATTGTGGCCTAGGTTTCTACAATGCCCACATCTTTTGTTTTCTTTGAACATCTCTCGAATATTCATATCACAATGAATTCGAGTGGATTTTGGATGATCTTTCTCTCTTAAAAGGGAATTATGACACACCCATGCACACAATTAATTGACATTTATCATTCTTCTTGAACTTTCCATGATAGTTCGCGGTAATATGTCAGATACAATACTGATGTTGGATATAGAGTTGTTGCCACATTGGACCCAAAGACTTCATGGTTGCTTTGATCTCAGCTCCGTGATTTGAAATGACACATATTTTTCCCTCGTGACAACATGTAAGCGTAAGTTTTTGAGGAAAAAAACCCAAGAATATGTATCTTCTCCTTCAACAAGGGAAAAAGAAACTAGAATAATGTTACGATTACCATCTTGGACAACTGCTAATAGTAGAACTTACTTTTATTTTCAATTCAAGAATGTCCCATCAATTTGGACCACCGACTTGCAGTATTTCATAGCATTAATGCACCGTGGGTAAGTACAAAAAAGCAGTAGAATTGGCATTGATCGTGAAACACTCGATCATTGTGTATGCATGGCAAGCTTTGAAGTTGACTATTGTCTCAGGATTCAGTCTGCTTACTACCCTAAACCAACTTGGTAGTTCTTTGTAAGATGAATCTCACTCACCGTGAAGTTTTTAATGGTATTCTGCTTTGCCTTCCATGTTTTCTTGTAGGAGACGGTGTACCCATATTGAGACTATATAATTGAATCAGAACCGCAATATCTATATGGGAGCTTGCTTTGACAATGAGCATAATGGCTTGGTAGATAATGTCGGAGTCCAAGTTGGGATGTCCTGGTTGATCCCTATAGCACAACATATGTTATTTTTATGGTGGATCGGTCGACGCTAAAGTGAACATAATTCCGAATATTGTAATTCTTAATTGCAATCATCACTTCTTCTTTCGATGGAAACTCTATTCTGATATATAACTCACCATCATTGATTGATGAGTTAAATTCGTAGTCACCAACATTAGGCATATCCATAAATTTTGGCCCATATATTGCACCATAGTCAGCTTCATACATGTGTGTTGAAGGTTCGGTGTGTACCGTATTTGTGGAAACTTCATCTACATCATTATCATCGGAGTTCATGTTGAACTGCGGTGATTCTGGCTCAACAAATAGTCCAATCTCAGCACTATCTGCACCTGGCTCACGAAGAGGTTATTCTGGTGGATATGAGGGTTCCTCTGTGATATCGATATTTAGGTCGAACAAGCTGGTAGTTGAACGTCTTCCCCTTGAATTTGAAGGCATCATGTCATACGGGTTTTGAACTGAGTGTTGTGTCGCATGCATCTCGATATTGAAGTCGAAGAAGCTCGTAGTTGAATGCCTCTCCTTGGAACTTGAAGGCATTGTGTCAAATGGGTACTGAACAGATTGTTATATCGAGGACATCCTCATATTCAAGTCAAAGAAATTGGAAGATGAATGTCTTCCCCTTGAACTGGAAGCGATGTTGCCATACAGATTGTTCATGGAGTCACCTCGATAGAGATCATAACAAGTTGTTGATGAATTTCTCCCCATTGAACTTGATTGAATGGTACCAGGATGTGGATATCCCATTAACAATTTAAAATCATCACGCATTACTTGAGTTGGGCTGTCAACTTGATCAGCTTGTTGAGTCAGCCCATAGTGGGAGCATAATGACGTACCACGAACCGCATACACTTCAACAAATGTCGCATACATTTCTACACCAGCATCTGAATTTTGACTCTGAGAATCAACAATCATAACAACATCTTCATCGTTGGAGAGATCGAACGCTGTATAAATTAACGAAAATACTACGGTTGGAAATCTATACTGAAGTAGGGACAATCTTCTAGTACATCCAACATGAACCTTTCTTGAAATTTTAGTGACCAGCTCCTTAAGAGTGATGTTTCTCTTGAAGGATATTCTGACAGAATGTTTGATTCGAAGACAACGCCAATTTCATCTTCCCGAATTTCTTCATCATAGTAAACAATAGCTGAAATACACCTCATTTTGAGAGTTTGAAAGTTTGAAAGATTAAGAGTCATATATCTACAAAAATAATAGTTGAAATACGCCTAACTAACTAAATAATATATAATTAAAATATAAACTAATACTAAAAAAATTAAAAAATTCACATTAAATTAAATAACAAAATTTAATATTGTTACCGTATCGACAAAATGTCTCGAGATTTGATAATGCCTTCCATTTTACAACCGCAAAAAAATAATACGAAATAGTTAGTACAAAAAGATTTAGTCAAATAATTAAATATAAAGTAAATATAATATAATAAAAAATAATTTTACCTTCTAAGAACTATAACAAAATCTACTTAGCTTGATAGAATGATTTGATAGAAGGAAGAATGTGAAAATAATTTTGGTGTGGTTTGATGTTTGCATTCGAGGATATTTATAGGGGAGTAGGATGGGTGAGTCGTCGAACTTTAAGGCTCGGGTAATAATGGAGTACTCAATAATTCAAAATGAATACCATCCGCGCCTTCCGCTGCATGTCAGCTTTACGATGAAGGCGCGAATGGTGATCCTCACTTTGCTCGTGTGGCGCCATCTCGGACAAAAACTCAAGGAAGACACGTTTGGTGATCTGCACCTTCTGTCCATGTCAACAAATGAGTGTTAAATCAGTAAAATTTAGTCAATAAGTGTCTGATAAATAATTATTAATTCTTTGAGTGCTTCTTGGGTAGAAATTCCCGAATAAGTGATGTTAGCCTCCTAGGACCCTATTCTAGGGATTTTCATTTTCTTTATTTTAATTTCTTACCTTTCAATAGTAAAGAAAAGGGTTGTTTCTATATGTCATGAAGTTCACATAAATGGAGTAATCATACTGATTAAACAAAGCTAGAAAACAAAAAGGAAATGGGATTCTCGTTGGCTTGTCTATTCACAACTCTGACCCTTTTTCTGTTTGATGTATATTACTCTCTTCAAATTTTCCTCGAATAAGAAGAAGTGCATTTCTAAAGGAACCAAAACCATTTTTGAAGTGTTTCTTCCTTGTTAACCAATTTAAGGCATTGATTGATCAGTTGCGTTTAAATTTAAGGCCAGGGGTTTTAGTTTAGACGTAAATTGCAGGCACTGCTGACAGGTGAAACTTCAAGAGAGACAGGTCATGACAGGAATATTAGACCAAAAACAAGGCTGTGATGTTCATATTTTAAGGGGAAGTTTATTTTCTACAAAACTAACTTAAAAGTACATATTAGTTTGGAGTTAAGAAGTTGAAATCAATCAATGTTTTGGTCGTTAGAATCATTAACTTCACACCCTCTCTGGTTTCTTCCTTTATTCGTTCTTTAACTTTGACGTTATTGAGATTTCAGCCCAAAACTTTCAGACATTGATATGAGTTCTGAAACGAAACTCCACTAATCTTCTTTAATCTTTCAGTACTTTATTATGCTTGAATTTTTCTAATGCTTCACGATGACTGCATTAATGATGTTTAGGAGAATGGGAGGAATTATTAGGTAATTCCGGCTTACTACGTCATATTAGAACACTAAAAATATTTTATAAAAGTTTTTATAAAAATGATTTACAGAAAATCTTAATCTGTAGAGATATCTATTTTTCTAAAAAATAATTAATGTATTAAAAAATTTTATAAATAAAATCCCAATCTTTGCACTTGCCAGAAGAGATGGTATTGGGCGTGGTGAGAAGAGTGAACATTATATTTACAAGCCCAAAAAAGATGATTCCTGGTCTTGGTGAACTACTGGGTCAAGTGGTCATTTGGGCCATTCTTTATATTTTTCAAATTAGTTTAATTTTATTAATAATCCCCCATGAAAGAAAACTTGTTTGGTAAACTATTGGCTTCGCTTTCTGGCATTACTGCTCCAACTTAAAGAAATGCGGGAAAGCAATAAATAGAAAGTCGATAACACAATGGACGAATGAAGAAAAGCGTAAGGATTGTTTTGTGCATGATATTACTCATGATGAAACATTTGTGAGCTAAGTTAGCATTTATGATAACCATGTCGATGAGAAGACTAAATCAAAATTTAGAAAAAGTTTAGAAAAAGTTTAGACTTGATCGGTGTCTATTACTGAAGATTACCGCTTTGAGGGGTGTTGTGGAAGAAATAGAGAATTTGTTCGTTGAGGTGAAGAATTATTTTTTGTTGAGTTTGAGTGTCACATCGAATTTGAGTGTTTTGTCTCGAAATCTTTTCACTTTCAAAATTCGTGTCAATGTGGATATTTGTTATAGTTTGACTAGAATTCAAAGTGACACAAATTAATTAATATATAAATATTGGGAAAGTAAAAACTCAGTTTGGTTAAAAGTAGAAAACTTTATTAAAGTAGATTTCTATTTTATTTTATTTTCCTTTGTAATCAATTATCTATCTTATAAATAGATACTAAGGGTCAGGGTTAGATATAAATTTTTCTTTCACCAAAATCCTCTTGTATTTTCTTCTTTCATATTAGTGAAATTCTTCTCCTTTGCCCATGATTTTTCCCTTTTGACTTTTCCACATAAATTCTGGTGTTCTTTATTCATCTTTTTGGATCGTATTTATTTATTTGCTGATAATAATCGTTCTGATATTATAACAAATCTCATACCCGTCTTCTTTCCATCATCTGTTGCGTCATTCTCTGATTAAAATGTTGTTAATACTTATATTAGAACACTAAAAATATTTTGGGGTGATGTTGGAGAGCAAGAGTGTAGTTTATTTCAATGGTTAAAACTAGTACTACAGTTATTGCATCTCTCCAAATGACCCATTCTTTTAATTTTAACCATTGAATCCCTGGCACCATGATTACTCCCACAATTATAATTGTATAGGGGAAATAAATTCCTTCTTGCTTGAAATGGGATTCCATGTCAATGGAGGCACTGTACCCACGCATTTTGCAGGTAGGGTACCCCTGGCTTCTTTTAGTTAGGTTTGCCTTCAACTTTAAGTACTTCTTTTCAATATCTTCATTATGTTAATGTTAAGGGTCTGAACCCAACCCTAACAATTATCTATTTACTATTATGAACATCCCACACCGACATTAGATACAATATAAAGCACAATTCTATTCGTTATCATCACATGGAAGTGGTACTCGACTAGTTGGCTTGGGTAGACACTTCCCTTGGTTTTAAGGCTGTTGAGATATATGATGAGTAGGGATTCCCGACACTAGAATAAGCTAGGTGTATAAAACATGCCATTGTTCCAGTCCTATTGGGGGATGTTTCACCAACAGGACCGCGCTAACTTGTTCAAATTTAACTTTTTAATTAATTGTCTTTGCTTGGTTCAGTGAAGCAAAAGATCATGAAATCTATTATACATAGTATCATGAAAGTTTAAGCTTTTGAATCTTAGTTTAATTAAGGCTGAAGATTATTATATTGTGCATGCATGGAATATATAATGTCAATATGGAAGGCAAAAAGAATTGTCAATCTAGTATTAAAATATACTTTCACTTTTATTCAATAAATTGTTTGATGGGGAAACATAATCAAACCTTGAGCATTTCAAAGCAAAGAAAACTATAACCAGAAAAAGAAAATACACCACAAGATTCAACAAATCATATTGTATCATCTTCATTGATTTTGCTAATTAATTACCGTTCTTAATATCTAATCAAATCCGGTGCTTGTTTTGCTTGATGTTCTTCAAAAATCACATGTCAATTGCAGAGTGGTATACAACAGCTGATCAGGGCTGGAACTCTTCCTCGGTATCCTCAAACTCCTCTTGGTTCTGGTTGTATCTTCCCATGTTGGTGTAAGGATTCTCATCGAACTCGTTCCTCGAAGCAACTCCCCTTGTGTTCTCGAACTGGTTCGGATAATAGTTGCTCTCACACTTAACATCGTAGTAGTACTTCCCACTCTCCAATTACCTGGTGTCGCTCATGCCTTGCTTCTCACCGTTGTTGCGGTTGTAGTTGTTGTTCTGGTTCTCCTGGGTGCTCCATCTTTTCTCGGTGAACCTGGCTTGGCCCAAGTTTTGGTGGTCGATGGACTCGTAGGCGTTCTTGTTGTAGTAGTAAGTGTTTTTGTTGTTTGAGCTGGATTCGAGAATGCTGTTGTAGGGTTCATCGGAGTGGTAATTAACAGGGGTGGCATACGGTTCATAAGTTTCCTTGGTGGTGAAACTTGGCTGATATGTGCCTGTTCCGTGCCCGTAAAGGCCATTACCATTTTGGGTTTTGGGGATAAACCTTGGCTGTTGCTCTTCTGAGGTTTGGGTGGTCTCGGTCCCTTCTGAGGTTTGGGTGGTCTCGGTCCCATGCTCTTGCTCTCTTGTTGTCGTTGTTGTCTCTTTCTCATTGGTGTTAATTGTTGGGATTTTGCTGAAGGATTCCCTGGCATGGATTTGCACGGAGAAGAGGGCAAAGAGGAAGAGGAAAGAGATGAGTCTCGGTGAGGAAGCCATGGCAACAGCTAACGCTTCGCTTTTGCTTTAAAAAGATGCATAAGTAGTTTGGGTGAGACATATGTATCCAACTGCGTCACAGAAAGCCTATCCCAAATACGTGTCTTCATCTTGTTTTAAAAGTAAATGTTTAAACCAATCCAATCAAACTTCTTCTGGTTCCCATAAATATATGAAGTTACAGCTTGGTAATGATATCAGAGTGGGAACATCATCATGGATAATCTATATGGTCACCAAATGCTTTTAATAAACTTTAACAATATGATTGGAATCAAAGGGAATACTTAATTTATTCATGCCTTGAAAATTAAGCACCAACTGCTCAAAGCCTAAATCCATACCAAAATCAAAGGGAAATCCCAGTTGAGGAAGCATGGGATTTGTGTGGAGATGAAGACCTGAGATTGGAGAGGTGGTGAGGTTGTGGAGCTTGTCAGGATGTGGGTTTGAAGCATGGAGCTTTTGCTCCAATGTCGACTCTTCCATTTTTTGATTATGGCAATGGTAATGGGTTAATCCCTTGGGATGGTGACAAATTTGAAGGGCTTCTAGCAAGGCCTTAGTTAAGGAGCACAGTGAGAGGATGAATCACGAATGAATTCACGTCTCTCTTTACCCAACCAGATATTCTATAATTCGTCCTCCTCCGCAATCAAAATTGTTTGAAATCAGCACTAGATTTTATTTGAATAAATAATAATATTTTATTTTATATGTAAAACCAACCAATCCCACACGTGACGTTGCGAGGGCATTCTAAAATCAAAAGGAGCATCTGCAAGGTTGAATTCCCCAAGTGTCTTCGGCATACTCTTGGATAGTCCTATCGCTGCTAAATCTCCCAGAGCCAGCTGCACTAAGTATACTCATTCTAGTCCATCTCTCTTCATCCACAAACGCTTCATCTGCGGCTGCCTGCTCATTTCGACATACTACACAGTTAAAATGCATAACCCTTTTTCCAACGCATTCTGCAAAACCAACTATTTACCTGGGCCTCTAGATAGCTTGCAAAATCGGCACCTAGTAGAAAATAGTCATTCCCACCCTCTATCTTGTCGCACAAAGATTTGAAATACTCTTCTAATCCAAAATGACCGTCGCGGATCATCCTACATACATCAATCATACTCTGTATGAGAAAACCAAGGATGTATCTCCTTTACTGAGAAACTAAGATGTAAAGTATTGATAAAGCCATAAACTACACAGAATTGATCGAGTATGATACCTTACAACGCGCAGAAATTGAAGAGGAACTTTAAGAGCGGATCCTTTCTCCCGCAATGCAGCAACTTCATGCACTTTTGAACCAAACAGAAACTGAAAGAAATATGATCAGTAACTAATATTGTTGCTTATGTTTGTATCGGTGGTGATTTAGCACATACCATGTTTTCCTGACCTACTTCTTCAATCATTTCAATTGTAGAACCATCTGATGTGGCTAAAAGTAAACATCCATTCATCAAAAATTTCATGCTGCTGGTTCCTGATGCCTCATGTCCTGCAGTGCTGGATTAGAATCAGGAAACATCTTAGATAAAAGAAGCGTGTATCAGAAGTTGAGTGTAAGCTGATTTATTTTTATTAAAGCATTTCTGGAAAAAGGGGCTCGGGAGGTGAAGCGAGTAATTCTCTACCCCAGCCAATCACTAATTTTGAGCTTCTTAATCTTTACTTTTGACAATCAATCTAGCTTTGCTTTTTAAATATAAGAAACATCATTCATTACATATGCTTAATGACAATTAATGCTAAAAGGATATGGTTTTCGACCCAAATTTTCGATAAAATGGAGATATCCATCTTTAGAGTGATATATATGTAAAAGTAACGAGACCAATAGTTGACTATACGGAAACAAGTAGAAATCCAATCAGAAAAAGATACTATAGCCGCTAACAAAATTGTTAATACCTTCTAATGTGCAAAACTTATGCATACTACCTTAGATGTTGAGAAAGATCAGCCCCTGGTGTTACCAACTCAGCAACAGAAACATTGTAATCAGGTATAAAGACCTGCAGATATAGTTAATGACTTAGGAAGACAGATTAATTATTAGAAGACAGGTATACAGGTCTTTGCAGCTTTAATTCATCAAGGTTGCTAATTATTTATGGTAATTATTCACCCTTCTAAGTAAATAATACACATTTCAGAGTTCCATTCAACAAACATTTCTGGAAAAAATAATACTGGCTTACCAACTTTAAAAGATCTCCAATATCTTTATCATTGTTGATCTTTTCAGCTACAACATGACAGAGTTTAATAATCTTCTTTGCCATTTCATAACCTGGAGCAGCTTTTCCTCCAAGTATGCATACCCGTGGTACAACTTTTTTCCTATCATTCTTGTCCATATGCTGTACCAAAATGAGAATGGCATTAGTAACGTACCTATGACTCATTCTTTTAACTTATGCTAAACAGTAAAAGTGTTCGAAAATATATACAACTTTTATAAATTAAACATCTTTGTGCAAACACAAATGACTATGATTAAGGAAATGGTTAATCAAACTCATATCTGACAGATTCGAGACATATGAAATCAGAATAAGGAATCGTTGATCTTGCAAGCTTGAAGCCACAAGATGGTCATAACTTAAAACCCAAGGACAATTCAACAAGGCACTTATAAAAGCAGCATTTTATAAACTCGACGTATTTTTCATGGCTCTTTCAGCCAAAGATGGTGTTTAACCTTGATGCAGTCATATCTATGGATAATGCCAAGTATATTAAGCAACTGCCGCTTATATTCATGCACCCGCTTTGTCTGCACATCAAACATTGCATCCAAGCTGACCTGCCCATTACCGATAATCCACACACCAACATTAGACCATTATAGAGCTCCTTAAAGGCATGAAAAAGAAATTCAGATACAGACTATATCTTTCTTCACAACCTTCAAACCACTCATTGCTTCAATGTACTCAGCAACCCTTATTTTGTTGACCTTCTTAACCTATGAGATAATAATTAACATTAAACGATTGGTTTAGCCAATGATGTGTTTTGTTTCCAAAGCTTGAAGAATGCTAACTAAGAAAGTACCATCTTCCATTCTTGATGCAATTCAGAATCAGTTGCATAGTCTCTCAAGCCTATCAAAAGATCAATATCACGGATCCAAGCTTCTGTTCCAAGCCATTTTGATATAAGAGCACATAAACTAGGATTGCTGACAACAATCCAGCGACGCTGAGAAATCAATTGTTAACAGGTAAAAATCACTTACCACAGCAGATGAATTTAAATTATTCATGTAGTTTTAGTTATAAGGGCTAGATGCACCACAGAATCAAAGCAACAATTCTAGAATTTAATTATGGTAGGAAAGCAACTTGGCCCATCAATAACTTAAATACTGTACTGAAGACTGCACTTAATTTAACCTGGGTTACTCCATTTGTTTTGTAGTGAAACTTGTGAGGCCACAGCTCATAGAAATCCTACAAAGATTTAACAGACAACAATTAGACCAACTAATTGAAGATGTTCATTGAAGCTGAGTTCTATTTCAAACTTATTACAAGCCAAGTAAAGGCAATGTTTAAGCAGGTAAGAACAAATTTAAGTTTTACCTTGAATAATTTTGTTCTCAACAACTCGGAATGAAATCTTGAGACACCATTCACAGTATGAGAACATATAATTGAAAGGTTTGCCATCCGAATATTCTGAAAAAAAAGGGATGGTTATGAAGTTCGATTTTCGTATATTCTAGCAATTCAGCAACACAACAGAAACTAAATCCATAAAATTTGAGATATACCTTCACAGCACCTTCCTCAACAATTGACATCCTGGCCAGCCGATCATAATCTAAACCAATCATCTTCTTTAACTCTTCCACAAATTGGAAGTTTATGTCATATATAATCTGAAAAGAGCAATTTTGTAAAACGGTAGAAACAATTTGACATCCAGTCAAATTAAATATATTACAATCTAAATAAGTGGATAATACAGGAAATGTTGTGTTGAAAATAACAACTAACCACATCCATGCTTCTGTACATTGGATGCATGATGTCATAATTAAGAAAATTATTAAGTTGAAGTTATATGACATCAGGAATATTTTAACGAAGCTTGTCCCTTAGAACTAATTAGGCTTTCAATCACAATAAGTTTTTCAACGAAACAGGTTAGTTTTATTTAAGCAGAAGTACATTGCAAAATTCAAACAAAATACACCTGCAAATGTCGAGGGAGAAGACTGCCCAGTAGATCCACAGGGATTTTCTCCAGTGCTTCAGGTGATATGGTATGAGTTGTGAATGAAAATATTTTGCATATGATGTCCCATGCTCTTTTCCAGCCTAAATGCTCTTCATCCAAAAGCACTCTCATTACTTCAGCTATTGCGAGAGATGGATGAGAATCATTCAGCTGCAGTGCAACCTATATAAAATGCAAATGAAGTTGACAGAAAAGGAGTCAAGCATCAGCGCAGCACTTGACTAAGGATGATTATTGAAGTGGAAAGAAAAATCTTCTCAGTATATAGAAAGCTTCCACACTCAACTCTCAGTAGTTCCATCATCTCAAAGCACAACCATTTATTAAGTATATGACATTGAGAACCTATGTAAACCTTGAGAACAGCTACATTAGTCAAGATTCAGGAGGGTATTACTGGACCATGTCATCCCACCACATTATCAAACCAGTACCAACTAATCCTATTTGAGGTGTTTCTACATATACTTATGCACTAACAGATACATGAAACATGCAGCTAAGAACCTTCTCTGGAAACTGATCAAAATTTCTATGAGAATCTTTGAATCTTCTGATGATGTCTTGTACTGAAGCAGAGACAAAGAAATATTGTTGTTTCAACCGTAATTCTTTACCCTGAAAGAAGCCACCACAAAGCAGTATGAATGAAGCTCTACATAAAGACGATAAAGAAACATATTCAGTCATCCACTCAACTCCTTGCAGACATTTCAACCAAGTTATCAATGAAAGCAACATGAATAATCTCCAACTAAGTACCTCTAACTTCCCATAAATCAAACAATTGCAGTAAAAGCTTTAGAAGATGTGGGGTGAAAAGTTTGATAGATAAGACAGAATCTAATCTTAACGTAACTGATAAATTTATGCAAAAGCAAGCAAACCTGATAAGAACGATCATCGGGGTATAGTATGCTACTAATACTTTCTGCTTTCTGTCTATTGACCACAGCGTCAACATAATCCCCAGTATTATAGGACTCCTGCAGCCATGCTCCAAATCCGAGGATTTAAGACATAAGAAATCTATATACTCACAAGAATCCATAAGCATATATGGGAATAAAAATCATACAAAACTAAAAATTCAGAAATCTTAAAAATTTCCAAAACAATCCCTTACAAAATAAAAGTCTCCAAAACTAAAGACACAAAATATCTGAAATATACGAAAATCTTAACCAACAAAATGGCACTTGTTAGGTCATTCCAACTATAGCATTTCCAGTAAACCTAAAGCAAAAGAAATATAGTTTTATATGTCAGCTATGTTGAAAGTATTAAAATGGTTTTCAAATTTTGTAATTAATTTTGAAAAAATGGTTTTCAAAGTTTGATAAATGTTTCTTTGAAAATGGTTTTCAAAGTTTGGTAAATGTTTCTTTGAAAAAATAGTTTTTCAAAGTTTGGTAGATGTTTGTTGAAAAATGATAATGGGATAATCACAATTAATCCCTAGGCTTTAGGGTATTTACAAGATTAAGTCCTTAAGTTTTAACTATAAATACCCTAGCCCATTTAACTTCAAAACCATCCCAAAAATCATTTCTTTCTCCCAATACTAGAGAGCTTTCTTGTGAGTAGTGAGTGTTTTGTAAACACCTGTAAATTTTCTCTCTTAGTAAAAGATCTGCAGCAGTCCGGAGACGTAAGCACAATTGGCTGAACTCCGTTATCAATTTCGGGTATTATTTTTTCGTTTTTATTTCGCATTCTCACTAATTTGGTTATAGGGAAATTACTTGTACTTGGTTTATTTCCCAACAACTGGTATCAGAGCTTTTGGGTTGTGAATTTTGTCAATTTTTTGCGAGGTTACTATTCGGGTTACTATTCACGTGAATAGTAAATTTCGTGAATAGTGAA